TTCCAAGTTTACAACCAAAATACATGTGGTAACATCTGAGAGTTTGATTAAGGTGTAGAAAATGCCCTCCACATAACTTAACTGGACTTTGACTGTGACTTTATTCAGGTTAAAGTCATTAGAAAATACTGTTTAATTGGTGGATTTGTATTCAGTCGGTGACTACCAGAGGAACAGCGGTTGTCCTGACCTCATCTCTCAGGTAACTCTGTAACTGGAGCAATTTAAAGTAGGACAGGCCTAAAAAAAAAGGAGCACGCTAGCTCAGCAAAACCCCTTTCCTGGATAAATTAAGGTGTACTGTTGTGAGACCATGCAAGACATGAGATAACAGCAGCTAACTTTGGTTTAAAATTGGTCTTATATTATATATACATTTTGGAAAACGGGCCTTCAGAGCAATGGGCTTTTGTTTTCGGGATAATAGGCCATATGCCTAAGGGCTTTCGGTCCAATGGGACATTTTTTTGGACCATTGGGGTTTCCTGAATAATGGGCTGTTGGAACCATTGGCAGTCCCCTATTTTTACCCCTAGTGGTTAGCAACAGACTGGTACACCCAGTTTAATTTCCCATAGGATGAATCCTTTATATACCGTCATACCTGTGCATAGCTGAAACAACTGCTGCAACTCTCCAATGGGCAAATGAAAAGTGCTACGGTCTGGGGAAGCTGTATAGCATGTATTGAGAGGGAAACCCTATTAACTGCATACCCTTATTACTAACCGTTATAACTTCATAACGTAACAATTAAAAACCCACAACTAACTCTCTTTACCAGGGAAAAACAGCATGGCCCACAGAAGTTTGTGGTACTTTGTTATGTACTTGGGCAATAGAACATTTGTGAAATATCCCTTTGAATACTTAAATACTTTGAATATTTTATTTCAGTTTATAGTGTTTATACAACTACTTTGACATTTTTCACTATGTTGCAGTTTGCACAATAAAACATTTGTTTACATTCTGATTCCTTCATATATTGTATTATTTTGTAGGGCCAAGAAAACCCTATAGCTGGTCTCTGCAACCTTTACTATTAAAAGACCACCAATCAAACCGGTAAGCCAGCAGCGTTGGTGGTGAAAGAAATCTGTTCACTCACTAATACATTTTCTATTTTCTTCCGAGACTTTCTCTGTTTTTGGATTTGGAATCAAAGAAGTGATTTTAATTGACAAAATGTTAAAACAGCTTTTGGTGGATAATGGCTCCACAGTTTTACAATTGGAGAATCACTTTAGGTCTACAACAATGATTAATGAAAATGAATAGGAGACACTGGAGAAAAGGAAAGAGGTAGTGGTGTCCTAAGCCAGCTCTGTAGTAATAAAAGCCTCTATGATGGCATTTAATGTACTCCTGACATAAAATAAGCCACTTTAAACCTATATAAAAGGCCCAGTCATGCAAACAAACTGTGAAACCACCGCCAGAATCTTATAATCTTAAAAATACTGTGAAACAAATCTTGTACACAGACTACTTTGTTGACCGTCCCTGCTGCCTGTAAAGTAGCATCTAACAACAAAGGTCTTCTCAGTCTGTGTTTTCTGAGGCGAAAATCTTATCAAATGTTGATCTGGTTCCTCACATCAAAAGCTTTCTGAGCTTCTGAACTAGACATCTGTAAGAGCCTGCACGTCATGTCATATCAGTACAGTATCAACACATCACACGTTCAGAGCTGCACGGATGTGTGACAGATCCAAGCACACGTGTGAAATAACATGTAGAGACAGGAGAGATCTGTCTTATCTCTACATGTTATTTCACACACACCTGCTTCCCCCTGTGATAGGAGGTGTGACTGCTGTTGTACATTTGAGGAAGCTTTGACTTGTAGCCGATAACTTTTCCTCGGGGCTTCTGTTGTTTTAGAGGTTTGAACTTATAAAACTAATCAGCATGTTCTGTGAAGGGATATTCGAAAGTATACGCTGGAGAGCGAATTCTGAGGTAGCTAATATATTTGATGTGCATTTCTTGAAGGGCAGATATTTCTTTTTTTTTCTTCTGTGCATCTGAAGCACCGGAGCAATCAGATGTGAAATCAGAGGCCAGGAAACAGCAGGTAGCAAGTCAAAATGCTGGCAATTTCTCCAAAATGGGAGATATTTCCACAGCAGAATAAATGAAAACCTTTGCCCCCTGCTGAACGCTTTGTATTTCCCTTCTCACACCAGGAAATCTCTGATAAAAGAATCCATTATCAAAGTTTAGCCCAGACCAGACATCAAAGATCTCATCTGAATCAATGTGACACAATCCTTCTGCCTTTGTGGGCATCTGCATTGCAAAATGTGACTTTGTGCTTCGCTTTAATGTCATTTCTGATTGTAATCACCCTTTGAAATGTGTAATATAATCTTCTAATATAAAGCTTAACTTACAAAACATTTAACTGTTTGCTCCCTGTGTGTATTTCAGTGCCATACAGTCCAATAGGACCAGTAGATGCACATTAGAACATGGAACCCCAGTTTGGGAGGATTTTGTCTTTAGGAATCCCCTCTGAGTAATTTTTGTATTTTTGAAGATAACAAAGTCTTCATACAACCCATTCTAGGACCCCTGTTGGTCCCCAGACCTCAGTTTGGTCTATTAGCATCACTTAATTTAGTCACATTATGGACACGGTTATGAAATTGAATATAAAACATGTTGTCTTAATATAATTTTGAGAAACTGATTATTATTATTGTGGTTTTAATCAGTGTTAACTTTTTCATATTTGTCCTAAAGAGAGAATTAACTTCTGGGGGAAAAAATGGGTGCAGAAATTCTTTTGTTAGAAGCGAATAGTTAAAAAAAAAAAAAAAAAGTCAAACTTATACAGTTGGTTGAATGTAATCAAATACTCAGCCTCTACAGGGTGGAAATGTGTCTGTGGTTTGTGGTTTCTTTATGACGATTTTCATTGCTCACAAAATAACCTTCACCTGATACATTATAAGAAATAATGAGTTATGTGTTTGTAAATCCTCCTAAGATCGCTAAATGTATTATTTAATTGATTAAATACTGTCTTTTTTTGTGTCTTTGTCCTGTAAGTTCATTAAAATGTTTCCTCAGTCAAATCAATATTAATTTGAAATAATAAAACTACTGCTGATCTTTTATTCTCCATTTATTACAGCTCACTGAACAGTGTCCTATTCTCTTATCTTTAATGTGTTACTCAAGCACTGTGCAATTTTAAGGCACTTGTATTTTCATTGCATGCTTCTATTTCTGCTACTTTTACTCCACTACAT